TAGGAACAGGGCAGAATCGAAAAAAATCGAGCGTAGCTTGTATTGTGACGCTTGTGGTCGGGGTGTAGGTGTGGATGTGGGTGTGGGTGTGTGTTTGGGTCGTGAGATTGGAGTCTGGGTTTGGGTGTGTGTGGATGTGACATGTGGGTGTGCTAAGCAATATTGGCCTATTTGTAAATTACACCAACACCCACACCCTCAAGAGGTAAATTGTGTTTAAAATATGCGAACTTAGAAAATAATTGTATAAAAAAGTTTTTTATGCTATGCATAAAATGTGGAGCAGTTGATAATAGCAATTTTATGTAAATATTTGCTATAATTTTCGATTAGAACCAAATGTCAAACTCGGGTACGTTATACACAAATCCATCATAATCTTGATAGTATTTCAAATGAGTTGTGTAGTTTAACCAATCGCAATCCTCTAAGACTTTCTTATAATTATTAAACATACTATCCTTGCCTTCAACAGCTTCTAATTTTAAGTGCGTCAATCGAGGAAAATAACTTTTTATATTCTTAACAAATGTAGTGAATACTGTTAAATACCCCTCAGCAAATGGTTCATCACATTGAAATCCGAGTATATTGAGGTTAGGTAAGATTTGTGATAGTTCATAAAAGAATGCTGCATGATATTTGGTTGTATTTGGCGTCCAAACATGGCTTTCACCACACTTTAGAGATTCTTCCATATAGCAGTAAATAATTTTATTTGAAGATTTTTTCGGAAGAATATTTTTCAATTGTTCAATAATGATTTTCGAATAAGAAGCATAGATGAATAACGTATTAAGATTTGGTGACAGAGAAATGAGTCTTGACAAAAACTGATACTCTTCGGACTTCGACGACTTCTCAGAAAAATTTAATTTTAATGTATTTAGGTGAACAAGTCTATCGATGTTGTGTATTTGAAACATCGTTTGTGGAATATTTCTAGTGTCGATGAAAAGTGAATCACAGTTTAGTAAATTTTCCACAGTAATAGTTTCGTAAAAGTCTACGATTCGTTGTATTTCAGAGACTGGACATGACGCACATAATCGAGGTAAAGTAAAGACAATGTAGGTTGAGTCCAAAAGACATTCAACATTCGGAAAGCGTGAATCAGGTTGAAAATGTGAACGAATGTAATATTGAAATGTTTCGAGTCGAGCACACTCACTCATCAGTCCATTGCATTTTTCATAATCAAAAAATTCTCTTGCAGCATTGGTTATAATTAAAGTCAATGATCGAAGTTGATTATTGAACACATCGAGAAATTTCTTTTTTAATATTTCAAAGCTTAGTATATTTTTTTGTTTAAATTCTAAGTATAAACTTTCCAGAGTTCTCGGCACTGATATCTTATGAAAGTTGTCTGATGGATCGAATCGAATTTCCGATATTGATAATTTTAATCCTTCAAGACTTGGAAAAAAATCGCAAATCAAGGTTAATGTTGTTGAATCGAATTCACGTAGAGTCATCGAAAAGAATTTGATAGCGTGCATTTGTATTGTATCATAAAAAACATAGAGATTAGAAGGGTTTTTCCAATTTTCATAACGAAATTTCAAAGAACTTTCATTTAGTACAATTAATGTCGTCAAGTTCTTTGAAGCGCAAGAAGTAACAAGTGAAGCCACATTATATGATAGACTAGATGTTGAAAGTTTCAAAATAGAATTCATTTTTAGAATTTTACTGAGAATCTGTTCTTGTAGACAACACTGTGAACCATTCCGGTGTATGCATGAATTCCATGTCAAAGATTCTAGATTAGTTAAATATTGAACATAAGATGATAATAGATGATATGTACATTCGGCAGGGAGTTTAAGTTCACGAGTTTTATGACCATATACAGGAAGAGTATGCTTGGAAAAATGTGAAAAGAGTTTAAATAAAGGATTTTCTCGAATAAGATCAATACAATTGAGATAAGGTTCGATGATACGTTGAAAACGTTGATTTAAATTCCCAAATGAGTAGATCAGATCGAATCTGTGCAGATAACGAAAGACAATTATGAGAAGTTCATCAGGAAGCAATTCCATAGTTTTAAGCTATTACAAGAACAAAAAAAAAATTGCGTTTACGATCGAAAAATCATGTGTTTGCACTTGCCATCCGTAACTAACGAAAGTATTGTGCAATAACTATCGAACAGTGTTGTTGGAGAGCAAAAAGAATAAAAGCCTTGTTTAAAGTTTCGTAATGACATATGTGGTGTCTTTAACTTGAATTGCATTCAAAATACTGGGTGTGGGTGTGGGCGGGGGGTGTGGATGTGGTTGTGGGTGTGGGTGAGTGTGGGTGTGGGTGTGTGAGTGTATGGGTGTGGGTGCGATTATAAAGTGAAATAGAACCCACACCCACATCCCACACCCACACCCACACCCACATCCCACACCCACACCCACACCCACACACACCCACACCCACACACCCACCCACACCCACACACACCCACACACCCACACCCACCGCACCCCCACCCACACACCCACACCCACACCCACACCCACACCCACACCCACCCACATCCACACCCATACCCACACCCACCCACACCCACACCCACCCACACCCATACCCACACCCACCCACACCCCACACCCTGCTTGGCTCACTTCCTATGACCAAATTCTTCCTATTCTTAATTGGGGCCACTATTCTCATTGAAGGGGGATAGATGTCGTTCTCTTTCTTTTAATTCTATCTATTCTTAGTCCGTTCTTAGTCTTTTCTATCTCTCAAGGGCAATCTCGATGGTGTGGGTGCCAAGGAGAGACTAAGCTCAAAATATCCCTATCACATGAAAATGTTCACGCAATCATAAAATTATAAAAAGAGGGTGTGGGTGTGGGTGGGTGTGGGTGTGGGATGTGGGTATGGGTGGGTGTGGGTGGGTGTGGGTGGGTGTGGGGTGTGGGTATGAGGGTGTGGGTGTGGGATGTGGGTATGGGTGGGTGTGGGTGGGTGTGGGTGGGTGTGGGTGGGTGTGGGGTGTGGGTGCGGGTGTGGGCGTGTGGATGTGGGTGGGCGTGAGTGTGGGTGGGGATGTGAGTGTGAGTATCCGTATTGTCTTGATCCATCATCACACCCACAGCCACAGCCACACCCACACCCGCACCCCTTTGTGAGAGTGACAGAAATTCCAGCAAACGATCATCAATTGGTTTGTTTCATCAAGTATTTGCAAAGAACGTATATGCTTGGTCACTGCAGGATGCTTCTTGTAACGAAACCATATATGGTTGTGATTTTTGCTCTCGCCTCTCCTTCAGTTATGTCGATAGTCACCTATGTGGATCTAAAATTCGTGCAATGTTTCGACAACGGGAGAAAGCGTTAATAGCAATAGAAACCATTGCCATATGCGGTGTTACATTTTGTTGGTTTTGCTGTGAGTTGAAATAATCAGTGGTGCGTATACATATGTGTATGCCATGACCGAACAATGAGTGAAAAAATAAATTGTCAATAGTCACCGTCAATCTTTTTCTTTCTTTTTTTTCTCCCTCCCTGTAAGAGTAGCGGAACTCGTTGCTGCATAGAGTGCACATATTTTTTAACCATTTCTGCCAAGCGATCAGTCTTCTATACGTATTCTGTGTTGAGATTGATAATAAAACAACGTGTAGAAATAAAATTTTTTGCACTCAACTTTCATTACCATGAGCATTGCATTTCGCCTTCTCTTGATCGTTGCACTAGTCGCCATCTTTGTAAATAGTCAGGGCGCTCGTGGTGGCAGCCGAGGCGGTGGAAGTCGAGGTGGTAGTGGCTATAGAGGTAATTATTTCATTTCAACTGTGAATTCTCATGAGAAAAATACCGGTTTTAGGCAGTACAAGTCGTGGAAGTAGCTGCCAAGGTTCAAATTGTCACATAGCAGGAATCATTGCAGGCAGTGTAATAGGTGGTATATTCGGCATAATTGCAATCATCTCCCTCACTATATTTTGTTGTCGTCGATATCGTGGTTAGGGGTGTTACTTTATTTTTATGTTTCGTTATAATAAAGAATAGAGTAAAGAGAATCTTTCTCTTTATTTTATAAAGAATACAGATAATCTTTATTTGTAAAAATAAAGTTAAAATAAAGAATAAAGAATGCCTTTTGTAAATTACAACAAAATAAATAAATCGCTATTATTAACAACAGACGATGTCAATTAAAAAATATTTTGTACTGTAGGAATATTTTTTGTCTAAAATAAGCCGTAATACAAAGTCAGTAAAGTGCCAGAAAAAAGGTTATAATCGTATTCATAGTTTTAGAATGGATGAATGATTAATTGAATTATTATTTGCTAGCGATGTGATTCTTCTGAGACTGACTCTTATACTAATATCCGTTTGTGATGTTCCTTAAGACTTTTAAAATACGTATCATATATTGTTGCTTACCTTGAGTGAAAAAAAAACAATACAGGTCATATAGATATCATTGCATTCGTATGTTAACAAGATGTGATGAAAAAAGTCTTTATTACTCTCTATTTTGATTAGTGACAATTTTGTTTTCGAACAAATATGAAACAAAATAGTGTTATGTTTTACGAAACAACATTTTCTTTTTGCTAGTTTATTAAGAAAATATTTTTCTTATTCAATGATCAACAGTTGACTATCACGAATATAAGAAAAAAAGAGTCTTTTAAATGTATATGTTCTTATAGATCATTTTATTACTTTAATAACATCAGATATCGTAAGGTGGTTGTTGATAATGATGCTCGTTGCTTTCTGTCAATATAACCTGTAACTGAAAAAGCTGATGCAGAAGCAGCTGATGTTGATGGTGCACAATTATATCGACGTGCATAAGACGCTAAAATTGGAAGACGAGTTTTATTTTCGTCCCAATATGTTTGAAAATCGTTGCAAGATATACTTGTGGATATATGTAAACTAAATTCTTGTTTTAAAGTAAACGGTTTTGCTTTTTGTTCTGGTTTTGGTGCAGTTTCAGCATCAGCTGACGACGAACGACATAACATTCAAAATCGATTAACTGTTGATAATTTCGATGGTTTGGATAAATTGATTGATGAAGATGATGACGATGCTGATTGTGATTGTACAGATTCTGATGAAATGCTTGTTGTTGATTTTTTTGAATTAGAAATATCTTTTGTTAAACGCATCAACATTAATTCAGCTTCATTTATTTCTTCAATTGATAAATCTGAAAGTGTGAACGGATCTAGATATGCAGCAATCTACAATAAAAAAATAAAAACATTTTACTCAGTTTAAACGGACTTTTCCCAATTATTTCACACAAAACCAAAACATTAGAATCTCATTTTCTAGATGAATCTGAATAAAATTTTGTCAGTATACTTTAGAAAGGTGTTCCTTTTTTATCTTTAAGTGTGCACCATTGATGAAAACCGTTGATGATCACACATAATGTTACTTTAGACATTTTATACATTGTCTATTGCATGTCTTTCGGGAAACTTTGCATACTAAATAAGATATTATTCATTTGTCTATACTTACTAATTTAGCACATCGTTGTTCATGTGTAACATTTGTTTTAAAATAGAAATCGAATTTATCAAGTAATAAATTTTTTAACCCATTTTCTAAAGGACAATTAGGTTTTTCTTTTGTTAAATGGAAATATAAATTATTGATTGTCCAATAAGATAACGATAATGTTGGATACTGACGCCCAGATAAACATTTCGTAGCAAAATAGAATGGAGCTAAAACATTGGACAATGATTCTATTAATTGCCATTCAAATTGATTAATTTGCAATGAACGTATTTTTTCAATTTGTTTGATTGTTAAACCAATATGAGACTGAGGTGAATAAATTATGTCATTTACAATCTGTTGACCAGCCCATAAACGGGCCAACATAATAAAAGTAGAATTCCACCTAATGTAAAAGTCATTTATCAGGTCATTTGCTTTGATCTTTTCTTCATTACCATCAGGATTAATTGCTGCATCAAGATCAATTTGTCGTCGTTTTATTTCATTACGAAAAAATGTTGTCAATATACTTGATTTAGTTATCATTTTGATTGATTTAGGAATCTTTTTAAATAAGGGTGTGGGTGTGGGTGTGGGTGTGGGTGGGTGTGGGCGTCGGTTTCGGAGTGGGTGTGGGTGTGGGTGTGGATGTGGGTGTGGGGTGTGGGGTGTGGGTGTGGGTGTGGGTGTGG